AGCAAGGGAATTTCCCCTCACTAAATTATCTGCCCTCTGGCCTTAAACTTTAACGATTTATTTTCAAACCAGGCACCCTATTTTTTTTCTCCTTTTGCTATATATTTTCTATGATTTGAAAGACCATTTGCTAAATATGTTATAACCAGCTATTTACCAAGATCCATTGCTTCAGGATACCTGATTTCCCCACATCCACTTCTTGAAATATAGCATTTTTTGGCTGTATAACCTTGATTCATTGAACTTTGTTGGACCCTAAGCCTTCTGAAAAACTAAATTGTCCCCTTCGGCTGTTCCATGTATGTTAGTCATCTTTTAAAGTGAACCACAGCTGCTTTAAAGCTGACTAGTCTTCAGCTGTGGGAACCTTGCATATGGGCTCTGCTAAGTCACTAGTATCCTCTTATGTATGTATTTATTTGTATGACATGCTAACACAGATGGAGACCTGGGTCTTACTGTTAGACGCTGTATAAGCACATAGTGAGAGAGAGTCTCTAGCTCTGAAAAACTTTGATTAAAAGTATTAAAGGCAGGTGAAGGCTAGGAAGCGGGGTGGGGGGGAAAAGGAACAAGTCACTTCACCTCACTGTGCAAAGCAGGTCTGCAGCTGAGGCTGGACTAGAAGCTACATTTCTTTGAGTCTCAGTACATTGCCCTACTTGCTAGGAAACGCAGAGTCCCTTCCTGCATGGTGGACTGTTCCAGCTCACTGACTTTTGAAGTTTGCAACTGTATTTGGAGGATATACAGTACAGATTTCTGAGATATTGGACATGCAGTCTGGCTCCCCTGACTGACCCTATTCTTTGAGCTCTCAGCCAGTCTCTGAGACCTTGGATTAACTAGGGTTACACAACACAATGTTAATAAAATTATTCCCAGCTGAAAGGCTCACAAATTGAACAGTCGGTTCCAGCAAAAGTTAGCATTACCTTTTTAAAGAACTGCCTCTTTGTAAAGAGAATATACATTCTCTAATGTATTTGGAACTGATTTTTGTCTGACACTGACAAGAAATCGAGTGAATAAATACCATTACCATAGTCATACATGCTAGATTTGTAGTGTGTGAAACTACAGTTTTGATTTTTCTATAACTTTTATAGAGATTAACATCTTGAAGGTCATTTTTTTGTAACAGGATGCATTTATTAGCACTCTTCTTATTGTGCTTGTATGGATCTTACCTACTGAGGAAACTGTGCCCTGCTGATCTTACTAGATCTTTCAGTGGCCTTTGATACAGTTGACCATGAGATGCTGATAAAGCATTAACTTAGTGGATATTCATGGGACTGCTGTAAATACGTCCTGCACTTTCCTAGTAAGGAGATCTGGGAGGGTGGTGATGGTTGAGTGCTTGTCATCCCCTTAGGACCTTCCCTGTGGGGACCCAGGACTTCATTATGCCCCCCCCCCCACACACTTAATATGTATGTGAGGTTACTGAGTGAGATTTATTTGGAGATCTGGAGCAAGGTGCATCAGTATATTGATGACACCCAGCTCTGCCTCTCTCTTTTTATCTGACTAAGGCCCCACAGTCTCTCCTACTGCCTGGCTGTAGTTGAGGCACTGGATTCATCCAAGACAGTAGCACCGTCCATACAAGACAGAGGTGATGGTGGTGGGCAGACTACTTTACTTGGTGTGATTAGGACATCTGTCATTGGGGTTCAGCCCCCCCTTGTCACTGGTTTTTAAAGCCTGGGGAATGCGCTTGGATCCTCTGGTGCACATGGGTCTTCAGGAGGCAGGTGTAGCTAGGAGCACCTTTTACCAACTCCATTTGGTGAAAAGGCTTTCACCCCCCCCCCCCCCCTTTTTTTTTTCTTTCTTCCATATTCAGATTTGGCCACCATCATCCGTACTTTTATACCCTCAAGGCTGGAATATTGCAGTACCCTCTAGGTGGGGCTGCCCTTGAAGACCTTCTGGAAGCTTCAGATGGTGCAGAACATGGCGGCCTGCCTTCCAGCCTGGGTCAGTCACCATGAGCACACAGTTCCAGTGCTCTGGAGCAATAGTTTTCAATCTGTGGTCTGTGGACCCCTGTGGGTCTGCAGACTGTCTAAGGCATCTGTGAAAGATGACCATGTTCAATCAAAAGTGTGTGAATACCCACACTTACAGTTGAAAGGTGTCCACACCTTTATTCAAAATTTCCAGTGGTCTGCGGGGGGGGGATTTGAAAACTACTGTTCTAGAGTTTTTCCTGTAGCTTCTTGGGCACAGTTCAAATTGCTGATTTTTGACCTCTAAAGCTATTAACGGCCTGGGTCCTCTCATATTCTCCATCACAATCCTTGAGGTTGCCCAAGAGCAACCTCGTGCAAGTACCATCAGTGTACCGAGTCCACTTGGCAAGAAGGCACGGGAGGTCCTTCTCAGTCATTCCTCAGCTCTGGAAGTCTTCCTCTTTATGCCCACCAGAGCCCAAACCTGGATATCTTTTGGGAGCACTGTAAGACCTTCCTATGTGAGCTGGCATTTTGCAAATAAAACTAGGGTATGATGTTGGTTAGTGGGCTTCTGTTTTATGTTTTTATCCTGTTATATAAATAGGGCAGTCCTATAAATATGTCTGTTTTTCCTATTATAAGCCACTTGGAGCCTATGTTGGGAAAAGGAGCATAGAAATCAAACCAAATAAATAACTAAAATACTGGGTAACGCAATTAAAATGCCCCGTTCTGCTTTCCGGCTTAGAAAGGGGACTGAAACTTTGTAGTAGAGAGTAATGACTTGAAGTAGGAGGGGCTGATTGATAAGAAATGTACAGGTGATACTATTGTTATTTTTGCACCAAGAAAGAGCTGGTTTGAAACCTTTGTGGTCTGTACTCTTTTTATGTATAAAACCAAGCTAACATATACTGCTCATAAAATTTGGTTTTTTAAAACAGGTGGCCACATTACAAAGAGGAAAAAAAGCTGCATTTCACACTTGAGGGAAGTCTTTCTCACTAAAGTGGTCAGGAATAAATGAACATAGGCTGAAGTTTTTCCCTCTACAAGCTCTCCTTTTAGGTCATGTTAATGCATCTTAGAAGGTTATTATGGGGAAGTTGTAATGTGGTTATAGACTACTACAAATTCTAGCAGTGCTTTCATGAAGAAATCAAGCTTTTTCTTTAAAATGTCTACCACCACATTTTCAGTGGTCTCAATCAGGAGTCTAGTTCTGAGCATGTCAGCACTTGTAGTCAAATGTCCAAGACTGAAAGCCATCTTGTTATAGTCAATGCACTTAGATATGTTTTATCTTAATTAAAGATGTAATCTGGTACTGTTCCCCATTTAAACCTTATTCATTTTTTTATGTAAATACTGGCTAAATGTCAAACGAGTTGATGATGAACTATATGTATGCACGAAATAAATGTGTTATGTTCTCCTTTGGTGGCTAGTTCGCAGGGAGCAAAAGACAATATTGCTACATGCTGTCAATAGATCCTTGTCTTAAGCATTAGACTGCTTTTTTGGTGAAGGCTATAAGTTCGGTGCCAGCTGAGGACTGTTAAACATGTCCAGCAAGGACTCTTATTCTGTTTGACAGTGTCACTTGGTGTGAATGTGTTTGTGTGTAATGTACTAGGAATGCATGATAGAGTACTATGATATGAAGGTTTAGTTGGGATTACCACGTCATCCAGAAAAAAATAGTTGAAATGAATATATCAAAATTCAGAAATTCTTCATTGTTTCTATGAATTTCCTCTCATTATTTTGCATCCCATAGAGCTAGTACTAATCTTTTCAATTTTAGTAGTGTTGGAGTGCTGTTGTGGCCATGAGGGATATGGGAAAAGCAAGGATTTTTGTGGGTGACATGCTTTCAAATACAGTGCTGCCGCCTTCAGGTCTGGTCTGCATTAGTTTGGTATTAGATATCTCTTGAATTTTCATGATCTCATGAATCTGGAGAAAGGGGTGTTTTTAAAAAAAACAAAACAAAAAAACCAACTTTTTCCCCGTCAGTTTTTCCATGGCACTTTGCAGGTTGGCTCAAATGGCTATAAAAACATAACATTGTATGTTCATTTATGTTATATGTATAGCATATTATTGTGGGGAAGTTCATGTTAAGGATGGCATAGATATTATCATTTTAAAAAGGTATTAGGAGTGGTTTTTGTGCCCCTTCATTGGTAAAATCAAATGTCTTAGTTAATCAGGAATCCTAATAACAAGCCTCAGATGGAGAAGAACAATATAAACAAATTTAAAACTTCTCTAAACAACTCCTTAAAACTGATTTTCTAGTCATGAAATATTATGGCTTCTTTTGGGAATCTCTCCCTTCCAGGATTTGAAGCAAATAGCATGTATGTACTTGGGAAGTTAGGAATTTCTCGTTTCCTGTGATGTAACTCTTCTGTTTAACTCTGAAAGATTGAGAGATCTGTCCTTAAAAATCTTTTACTGATCTACTACTTTATATTACTAACCTTGAACCTGGGTCAGTTTGGGGGGTGGATATTGCATTTGGAGGCTGGATAGCAAGTTGATTTTTAAAACAACAGTAACTGTTTTGGAGCTGCTTACTAGCTACAGGATCGAAAAAGTCCTCATGTACCGAATAGATTAGCTGGTAGAAAGTCAGAATTATCTGATAAATACAGATTGTCCTGTGGTTCTCACCTGCACATGTGTGATCTGTGTGTGAGATGCAAACTTAATTTTCAGATGCAAAATATGTGAAACCACTGATTTTTAAGGAAACATTTCTTTATTCACTTAAGCCTGTTCTTAATATAGTAGATCATTTGCTTTGGAGTTAGTTTCCACCACCCCTCTTTTAAGATGTGTTGTTTATAGTATAATTATATTGTTATATAATAATATAACACAGATATATATATAATTATATTTTGCTTTAATGAAACTTCAAGAAACTAGTGGCTTTCAATATGTGCATGAGAGAGAGGACCAGGTTTTTTAGAAACTTTTTTTTTTTTAAATAATTCTCTCTCTTGTTTTCCTTTTTTACAGATGCCAGAGATGCAGAACAACTGAGTAGGAACAATATTACACACATTCTTTCAATTCACGATAGTGCCCGGCCTATGCTTGAGGTAAGGGGGCCCCCAATTTGTGCTCAGGTTAACAAAAACTGCCAACCTTGAGTTAATTTTACACTCTTAGCCATCAATGTTTATCAGTGACTTTCTTATTTTCTCCTAGAAACATTTGAAAGCAAAGGTTTTTTGAGACAGTCCCTTTATTCCAGCAGAAAAGAAATCCAGATAACACAGGAAGATTCATTTACAGTGTTTTATAGACAGATATGTTCTTAGCTGTATTAGCAATGATTACTTATTTGATATCCCTATAGAAAGTATGGTTAGAAGGTCCCACGTTTAAAAAACAAAAATAAATAAAAAAATCCTTGTTTATAATGGATAATAGATATTCACAGATTCATAGGTGCTATGGTTGGAAGGGACCTCAATAGATCATCGAGTCCGACTCCCTGCATAGGCAGGAAAG